TTCTGAGAATTTTTCAAAAATTTCTGGAAAAATTTTAATAGTTAGAGATCCTTGGAGATCTCCATCAAAAAAATTTCCTAATATATCAGGAAAAATTACTACTGAACTAATTCAAATTCTCAATAACATCTGTAAAGATACAAGAGAGAACAAGAAGAAGTTGTAGATGCTTTTCCAAGATACAACTAAGGCCTATGATATAATCACCTTAGATATGTTAACAAAGTAATGAAAAGGATCAAATTTTGAGAAGAGTTTATTAAGATTAAAATAGATCTGTTTTAGAATAGAGAATTCAGAATTATAATTGAAAATATACTCACAAGATTAGTAATAGCTAAAGATGGGATTAATCAAGAAGAAACTATTTCATTTTTAATGTGAAGAATTTTTTATGATCCTTTGTTATATAAAATTCAAAATAATGAAACAAAGGGTTATGAAATGTCAGTTACCTGAGATCCAAGTCTAAAAGGAGAAGTAGTTAACAAAAAATTGAAATCTAGACATGTAGCTGTTGTTTTTATAAATGATACTACATGGATAGTAAGATTCAAAGAAGACATGAAAAAGATTTTGGAAGAAGCAAGAATCTTTTATAGAGTCAATAACTTCCAAATTAATAGTAACAAATCAGTACTAGTTACTATTAATAACCTTAATTACTATCAAAAGAAGTCAAAATAAGAATCAATAGTAAAATAGTTAAAGAGTTAGATAGAACTGAACATACAAGATTTCTAGAAATCTGAATTGATAATCAAAAGATAGCAGTTGAATTAAAAGAACAAATACTTAGAGAAAACAATACAATTATATGAGCACTAAAGAATAAAAGATTGATTAACAAACAAACACTCTATATTTTAAATAGGGTGTTGATATCTAGGATAGAGTTTTATATGCAACATAGTATGCTATCCTAAAAAATATATAACACTTTAACCATAGTATATAGAAAGCTTCTTAAAAACAAAAGTAACTTGTACAGATCCATATCCAATAGTATAGTATATTATCCAAAGATCTATAACTTAAAAAATATTTGGATGCTACAAAAAGAAAGCCAAATAACAGGACTATACAATAGACTAAATGATCTAGGATCAGCAGGATTTATAACAATCATCAGAAGCAAACAAGCACAAGTTAAATATTGGAAACTATGCAATTTGCTTACTTGTAAGTCATTAGATCATATGTCAGGTAGAGGTAACTTTATATTTCAAGTAATAAAGTTGGCCAAAGATATAGGAATAAGATTTCAAAGCTGAAAATGGCAAGACATTTTTGAATGGGACAAATGTAATTGCCCAATCAAAGAGTACCTAGTATCAAATAAATATACGAAAGCCATACCATTACTTAGAAACAATAAGTTGATATATATGAATCAACTGATTACCTATGAAACCAAAGAACTAAAAAAATGGGGAATGATTCAACTAATCCAGAAAACCAGTAAGGGATCCATTCCAGGGTGATATCTAGTGATAAAAAAAAGCATATAAGAAAAAGGACTAGGACAGCTCGTAAAATTCTGAAAAGAAGACTTGTTAAAATAGGATCCAGTAATTACAAAGATAAATTCAGATCATAATAAAAGACAAACACTCTGGATAGTAACAAATAATAGGTACCAAAAAATAATATAGGAAAAGTTAAGATTGGAAGACATTAAGCAAGTAGTATAAATAGAATACTTCAAATGTATTGAGTTTTCATATGCTTAAGAGACTAGTCTGACAAAATGTTTAGAATATGCAGAAAGTAAAAACGTGAAAAATCAATGTATAATAGAAACAAAAAGAAATAGAATATATGAAGTCTCTTATCTAAATACAAGAAAATCTATGAAAAAAGCCTAGCAGTTAAATATTTCAAGTTCCAAAATAGTTTTAGAAAGAACAATGGAAAAAACAATCCAAGATAATTACAAATTTAATCTTAATAGTAGAGTAAGTCAAATAGATATAAAGAATTGGGAAAACAGATTATTAGAGAAAATATAAAAGAAGGAGCATATCAAAACCACCTAATTGAAATATTCCAATGGAATCAATAGTTTAAAGAAACATTGGTTTTTTATTCTGATGAATCTCTTATTAACCATGGATATAAAAAAATGAAGATGAAAGTTGCATAAATACAAGTAAAAAGAGAGGATAGAAAAAGTAAGTTTCAAATAGGAGTAAGTAACTGGTCATCATCTGTTAGAACTGAGCTAGTAGCAATAATCACAATATTATTAGTTGGTCCAATAAATAATAAGGTCAAGATTTTTATAAACAGTCAAATCTATATTATCAAGTGAAAAATAATAGAGAAAGAGAATTCCAGAAAAATTCATAAAAGATGATTAAAGGAAAAGAACTGGTCCTTGTAAATAAAATTATTGGATATTATTAAAAAAAAAAAAACTGAATCTGAAACTGATCAAGGTCAAAACACATTCTAATGACTCTTACAATGAAGAAGCAGATATTCTAACAAAGCAAACCTTAATGTTTCCTATGATCAAATGGAAGAATTTTACTTTATTTAAAATTATTATCAAAATCAAATAGTATGAAATAATTTTAGATAATTCCATAAGACAGTTTATTAAAACCATAAATAACAGTTACAACTTATCAATGGATTAAATAAAATAGAATTTTAAACAAATAGAATCAATAGATTTGAGATCAATATGATTACACATGGGATTTAGTATGGGAAAAGATGAAGAATAGATATACTTGAAACATCTCTTTTAAAGATTCTTAAGAAAGAAGCTTTTTTATTAAATTAATCAATAAAAAGGTATCAATGCTTCTCAAATTGGCCATAAGAAGACCAGATTTATATAAAAAAGTAAAGTATATAGCATACAAATGGCAAGCAGAAACAATAGAACATCTATTAGAATATTTAGCATATAAAGTCCAATGGCAAAAAATTTGAAACAAAGGAGTTGAAAACATTTTAAAAGACTTTCGAAAACTTCTGCATGAGAGAAGAAAAGAGATAGAAAAGAAAGAAATAAGATTTCTAGTTAAAGACAAAGTAGAATTAGGATAATTGGATAAATATATAGTTAAACTTATAGAAGAGACTGCATAAATAGATCAGAACATACTAAACTTTTGCATGAGACTAATATGAAGTAATCAAATATTGAAAATGTCAAATCTAAGATGTTGCCAGAAAAGAATAGATAAAGAAGTCTGAAAGTAAATAGTGAAGATGCAGAAGAAGGTTTGTAATTAATTCTGAAAGAAGATCTGAAACAAAAGGTGCTTAAGAATAATCAAGTAGGAACAAGCACAAGGAATTTATAGAGAAAACAAAATAAGAAGATCAGCTAGTCCATTAAATCAGAACAACAAAATCATAACTACGAAAAGGTTTATATAAGAAGAAGAAAAACTTGAAAATAAAAGTTTGAAATGAATCTCCTAGAAGAAGTAAAGTATGGAATAAGATGGTTAGGGTTTTAACTTCTATTAGAACTTATAAGAAGGATCTGTATTAGTGATCTGCAGGTAATGAAAATTAGTAGTTGAAAGGATTTTCACTTGAGTTATTAATGATGCAATAAATTACTTTCGACATTGCATTTAGAGTGATAATAATCAAGACAAGTGAACTAATTAGAGATTTAGCTTTAGCGATTTATTTTACATATATAGTATACTAATGTTTAATAAAGCATATATAATTAACCTGATAGAGTGTAAAAAAAAAAAAAAAAAAAAAAAAAAAAATTATTATTATAGAAAATAATGTAGTAGTGACTTTTAGATGATAAGTTACACTTAGAGTAATAATTACAAAACCAAGTGAACTAGTTAAAGTTTTTAACTTTAGCAATTTATATTATAATATATAATTTACAATTGTTTAATAAAACATGTATAACTAATCTGATAGAGGATATAAAAAAAATTTTTTTATTAATATAAAAAATATTATTATATGGTATATTAAAAATAATATAAAAGGTGAATATTTAAATAAAAGATTTATCAAGATTATAATGACAGGAATTAAAAATGAAATAAAATAGTTGGATTTTAAACCCAGTTAAAACTATTTAGACATGTGCTGTAATAATTTAGATTCGTGTTACCTCGCGAATGACCGTAAATTTCTTATCAACCAAATAATACACCAAGCACGTTGTACGTACATAAGTATGTGGGAAAAATAAATTTTATTACGGAATAACTGATAAGACTATCTCTATTTCGACATCCTCGATATTTCCAATTTTAAGGTTAAAATAATTAATGCGATTAACGATTAATGTATCCGATAAGATCATAGGACTATCAAACTTGCTGGGACGTACATAACGCACGTATGGTACGCACACAAATGAAATTAGATTATCTATTTTATCTATCATCATTCCTCAATAACACAATCAAAGAAAAAATTCAAATGTGTGTGGCAATTTCTATGTACGGTCTTTTTACAAAAGCACATGCGAGTCTATCAGGTTCTCCCACAATCAGTGAAAAAAACAAAAGAAATAAAGCTGCAACAAGAGTGTCATGCATCTCAAATCCGAAGGACGGAAAGTAAATAAAATGTATGCGCGAACATTGAAAAAAAAAAAACCCACAACGAAAAAAACTTTTCGGGATTCGAAATGTTACACGATAGAATTCTTTTTTATATATGATGCAAATTGTTCAGCGTGCCTAGATGTTGCACGGCAGTATCCGTATTTATCTGTTTGTAGCATACAGCTGATAAAAAAAGTGCTATCAGTTTATTGTTAATAGATCATGATAAAAAAATGTATTGACTCAGCCTATAAACTGGTAATGGTTGACACAAGTCTAATTAGGAAGGTGCGAAGATTATGTTAAAAAAAAAAAAAAAAAGATCATTTGCTGATAAAAACCCTGCTACTCCAGAGTCGATGTAAACAATATAAAAAAAATTTTCCCCACGTATATATAATTACGTATTTGACCAGATTAACCTGTCCATTCGATTTCTTTGTGATGGATAAAAGTACAACTTCTGCTTTTACTACATACGCAACTTTTGAAACACAAAATTCCCAAAAGTCGAAATATCATTTTCCTTCGATGACCACTGAACGACCCCGAATTTATGGCGAACAGGCGTTGGACGACAGATACGAGTATATTACCAACAATAATTTAGAAACTCTTTTAAATGCTATCGAGGCCTCCCCTGTAGATTTACCTCCTAAAAAATATCAAATTGCCAAGCAAAGTAACACGATATCTCCTCCTTCTCACCTCTCCTCGAGTAAAATCCAAAAACCAAAACCACAACTTCCCCCTTCTCCCACACCCCCCACTTCATATAATCATCATCAACTAGAAGAACATAATAGTAGTATTATCATTAGTAAGGATCGAATTCATGCACATCGATTATTGCCTCCCCCTCCCATCAATAAGAGTATGTCGATCTCTTCATTGATTGAATTGGATCAACACAAACCTATTCATTCTTCTTCTATACCATTAACCCCTCCAGATTCCTCTTTAATTTTCCCAGAAATTTCTATAGCACAAACTAAATCCTCAATCGATTCCATTCCATTCCCTCGGTTACAACCTCCCTCTAGTAATATTTTCTTAAATTCTTTTCAGTTGCCCAGCGTGAATCAAGCAATTGGTGATATTGATCATACGCGTAATTCTTCTCCACCATTAATTTCCAACAATAATAAAAGAAAATGGGAGGCTACTGAAAATTCCTTCGTCAATGGTCTGATGAGCATTGACGACAGGTATGCAGTTGAGGAAACAAGGTCAAAAATGCGTCGATCCATCGACGATTGTATGTCACCACAAAACTCCGCTTACTCACCATCATCTAGTATTAATGATAACAAGGATGAACCGCTGATGTTATCATCATCGTCTTCGTCATCAGGTTCATCATCACCGAAGGAAACTCATTGTCCACGTGACAACAACTATCACCACGATCAATTGGCCACCACCATCACTTGTTATCACGCATCCGTTGCACAGAAATCTTACGGGAGTGAAAAGAGATTCCTCTGTCCTCCACCGGTAGTAATACTGGAAAGGCATGGTGGCGGTTGCAGGGGAAGGGGAGGTGGAGGTGGATATTTCACAAAACCCAACTTATCAATGTCAGTGGTGTGTGAAACAGAGGAAAAAGATCCATTAGAGCTGAAGGCATCTTTAGACGAAAATATGAAGGGCACATTTAAATATTTACATGTTAGTGGCACCGCCAAAGCTAAACATTTCACTTTAAAATTAAAAATATTTCACAATAATTCTATTACTCCATATATTACTAGTGATTCTTCACCCGTCACAATTATATCCAAACCATCTAAAAAAAACAGCGAAGGCAAGGAACGTGTCTTCTTGTATATTATCAGGATCACTTATTTCCTTGTTTAATCGTATTAATTCACAAACTGTACGAACAAAGTATATGGGTATTGAGGGAGGTGTACTGTGCGCGAAGAATTCTTCTTGGTCTTCCTTCACGATCACAATGGTGAATAGTAATAACAATAACGCCAATGGAATGGGTGCAATTTCACAATCGAATTCATCCTCCGTCACCAATTCTTCAGATTCCACCCCGATTACATATGGTTCGGAAATAATTCTCTCGGACCCTGCCTCGGGCTTTATATCCGATCGTTTGATAATCAGAAAGGTGGAAAAAGGTAAAATCGCTCAAGGTGCGTGCGGTCCCGTCAGTCAAATGCAAAAGATCGCCCTGCAAGCTGTACGTTCAGGTACACGTGAACCTCATTATCTAAGTGCCGCCGGTCCGATCACAATGGACGGTCCTCGATCCCAAGAACAATGTGCGGTCGGCAGTGCTTCTCCTTTTCTTGGTTATCAATCTTCAAAGGTAGTTCATATACAGAATACCGAATTTATAAAGGAACCTTTTCGCATGGTTTCTATACAATCCTCAATTCTATCAAATAAAAATGATACCTCCAATCCTGTCGTTGTCGAAGAAGTTGATGACTACTTATGTTGGACTATTGTGGGAATATGTATGTATTCAAGAGAAATCTCTGTTGTTTAAAATTCTTCGATTCGCCATTTATTCATAATCAAAAAAAAAAAAAAAATCTTTTTTCCTATACATTAGCCAAATTTCAAACCAAGTATTCCGAATCTTTGCCATCATCGTCATCATCATCTCCCAATACTCCTCAGTAAAACATTTTCACGTGTCGTACAAATTTTCCATGGTCACATGATACCGACAAATAAGTAATTTTGTTGGTTGGTGATTTTCAATCTCGTTTCTTAGAATGGTTTATCTCAAAAGGTGTGCGTGCGAATGCATTTCACTAAATTTTACCACGGACCACGGATTACGGATTGAACAATGAACGCGGGATTTTACGGCTGGTGACATCGCGTGCAAAAGCCGGGAAGAAAATTTTTTTTCGTGGGAAATTTAAGAATAAACCTGTTTATTCACCTGTATCAGTAATAATCTGAAAATCAAATCCTTGTTAAATGTTTTACATATATATGTAAGATCATCAACCAAATTATTTCATGCCCCACAATTAATACTGCATTAGCGTCGAACTTAATCATGCACATATAGATAATGTTGATAAGATCAAAATTTGATCGGGAAAAAACGGAAATATAATCAGTACTAAATTTAATGTAATTCAAAATTATTTATACATTACGCAATAAAAAAAAAATTGTACAGTTGATTCGATATATATAACAATAATATATTTAAAATAAGATAATCAATATATAATATTTACAAAGAAAAATGATTTTCTTTTTTATAAAAATCGATAATAGATTAGATTTTTAGATTTTAATCTTGTTAATCGTATAACATATATATATAAATATCATTAATTATATTATATAAAACTTTTTATAAGTAAATAATATCAATAATTTTTTTTATAAATTAAATTTATTACTATTATTTAAAGCTATCAAGATTATTGAGATTGATAAACTAATAATAAATAAGTAATATTATATAATATAATAATTATATTATATTAAAATTTATTTATTATAATTGATAATTATTATAAATCTAATAATTAATTTTAAAAATTCAAATAATATAAAATCTAATTTATTAATAATATATATATTTTTAAAAAATTCTATGTTAAGCTAAATATATATATTTATTAAATATTTATATACTTTATATTATAAATCTAAAACTTTATAACTTTGAAAATAATTTATTACTTCATTAATAATTCAGATAAAAATTTTTTTAATTATTAACTTCATTGTCTATAAGTTATTACTGTAAATCACTCTATAAGATTTTAATAAGACTTAAAATCCATTACTTTATTTTATATTTGATATCTTTTATTAAAATCTTATTGAAACTTTTGTCTTTTAAGTTTTCTTCTTGAAGAACTTGAAAATTTTTTAATTTATCTGATTTATTTTATAATTTCCTTATATTTATTTTTATTCAATTTTCTTTTTATATTTTGTATTTTAAATTTTTTTTCAAACTTGATTACAAATTCTTTTTTATAACTTTATTGTTTATTTTTT